CTCTCTCTCTCTATATATAGTATCTCTCTCTTATCCTCGCTCGCTCTTGTCGGTTTCTCGCTCTCTCTCACTTCTCTTTCTCTCTCACCCTCTCTCGCTCTCTTCGTTTTTCTCTCGTCTCTTTTTTCTCTGCTCACGCCGCTCTCTCGCTCTCTTCGTCTCTCTCTCTCTCTTCTCTCTCTCTCTCTCTTTCTCTTTCTCTTCACCCTCGCTCGCTCTCCTTCGCTTTCTCTCTTTAGTCTCTCTCTTCTCTGTTTCGTTCTTTCCTCCTTGCACTCTCGTTCGCGTACCGATAATCGTTCGTCCGTCGGTTTAAGCGCTCGTTCGATTATTAACGCTATGATTTGCGGGATATGAAGAGGAGTGCTGATGTATGTGTGTGCGTGCGTCGCTGCTTGCGGCGGCGCGGGCGGCGCTGTCTGTGTGTGTTCGCGGGTGGCCGTTCGTTTGATGTGGGTGGTGCGTGCGTGCGGGTAATTTAACTTTCATTGGCAGAATTTGCTGCATTGTTAGCGCCTGCAAAGCTGTTGTGAAGTTCCTTGACGAGAGACAGTTTAAATGTTAACGGCGTGTGTTTGTCGTGTGCGCGCGTACAACCAAGATGTCAACCGCAAGGTCGCCTGGTTAGGTCATATATTAGCTCGCTGTAGCGTGTCGCGGCCACCCCCGCTGATAGGTATAACGCACAAAACAATACAACACGCACGGAGCACAGAATGAAAAGAGTTACACAAACAAAACAAACAAAACAGAAGTCAGACGGATTCCGAGTCGCCGTTGTACTCGAGATGTGTAATGCTTCGAGATTGTTTTTACTATATGGTAGAAGATAAACATCGGCGCAGATGGTGCGTCAGTGTAGTCGCGTTCAAGTTCGTGTTTGTAACCTTGCTTTATTTCATACCTAATTAGTTCAACAATGTTTACGACGTATTTAATTAGTTATTATTATATATGCAATTCGACACTCCTCACAGACGAAAAACAGCAATGTGAAAACACGTGGTATATACGCCCACGAAGAACAAATTTGTATCGCCGGATGTTCAATAGACTCGATGTTTGATGTTCGATGTATACTTTCATTAACAAGGAGAGGGTGGGCGGTTGGGATTGCGTAACTCTGTCGATTGCAAGAAGCCGCCTGGTTTCTTGTTCTCTAACATTTTATATGATGAGCTATTTGTTGATAAGCATAAGGTTAACAATACAAGAATATTGCACGTGGCGTATCTAAATCCTGATATTAAATACGATTACTTCATCTCCTAATCTCTTCTCCTTTCTTTCCCATCTTGCCTATATCGACATGCGGAGAAGATATACATAATACGTCAGGACAGTTTACTCGCTGATCTAATCAAAATTCTGTGTCTTGACTAGACATTGACGTTGGCCGGGTCATCCCAGAATGAGGAATAATTTTATTGGCCCATGGTTTCTGGCCCGCCGGCCGCTTTGAAACCACGCATTTGTACAGAAGAAGCACTACAAGTGTTGCGATTCCCTTGGTCTTCTATACTTTTTATAGTTTTATCAGCTTTATTCTTATTGAGCCGAGTTTTATTATGCTGCGTTATATTCAGACCACGGCCCGCACGCACGCCTTCACCACACGCCACGCGCACACGCACGCGCACAACGCCACGCACACGCACACCGCACACGCACACGCACACGCACACGCACACGCACACGCCGCGCCGCGCCGCGCGCACACACACACACACACACACACACACAACAGCACATACATACACACACATACAACACACACACCACACACACACACACACACACCGCGCCGCGCGCACCACACCACACACACACAACAAACACATACACAATCACGCGCACACATACAAGCAACCCCCCACTAACAGCAACGATATGTGTTCAACATAGATATCTCTTGGGCAGGAGTTCAAACAGCTGACGATTCACTACATGCGCTATGCCGCTCGCCGTCTATGGCTGGCCCATGTACGTGCTGCATTGCCCCTAAACGACCGGCTCTGTCGTCTGCTACCGGACCTCAGGTGAGTAGCCATCACGTGACTTGACAAGACAAATGAGAAGACAGGTAGTGATCACGTGACTAATAACGCTGAGAAGAACAGTCGAGTATCACCGTGATGTAAACAAGTAAGAAGACTGTCAGTTGATCAGTGTGGTGTAACAAGATAGAAGACAGGTAGTGTCACGTGAATTGTAACAAGTAAGGAAGGCCAGGTAGTGATCACGTAAGTAAAAGTAAGAAGACAGGTAGTGATCACGTGATGTAACAAGTAAGCAAGACGAGTTAGTGATCACGTGAGTGGGGAGGGAGGAGTTATGTCAGGCTGGGGAGGGAGGAGATATGTCAGGCTGGGGAGGGAGGAGCTATGTCAAGCTGGGGAGGGAGGAGTTATGTCAGGCTGGGGAGGGAGGAGCTATGTCAAGCTGGGAAGGGAAGAGTTATGGCAGGCTGGGGAGGGAGTTGTAGTAGAATGCGGAAGGAGTTATAACAGGCTGGGGGAGGAATAAGTTATAATAGTGGGTTATAAACGAAGTTATAGTATGCTAAGGAGGAAGAAGTTATTATAGCAGACTGGGAAGGAAAGCTCTATAATAGCAGAATATGGAGGACGAAGTTATAGCAGACTGGGGACGAAAGATTTATAATAGAAGACAAGGGAGATAGTTGTGGCAGGCTGAAGAGGAAGACGTTATAGCAGGCGTGGGAGGGAGGAATGATAGCACTCTGGGATGGAAATGGTTGTAGAATGAGTAGGAAGGAGTTACGGCATATTTAGGAGGAAGGATTTATAATAGCGAACTACGAAGGAAGCTGTAGTGGGTTGCGGAAGAAGAAGTTATACTGTAGCAAGCGTGGAAAGGAGACATTATAGCACTCTTGGATGGAAATGGTTGTAGACAGAGGAAGAAAGAGTTACGGCATGTTTAAGAAGAAGGATTTATATATAATAGCAGACTACGAGGGAAGTGGTAGCAGGCGTGGGAGGGAGGAATTATAGCACTCTGAGAAGAAAGCTGTGGTAGGCGAAGGGAGGATGCTAAATCACGCCGAGGAAGAGTAGCATTCTGATGGAGGCATCTATAGCAGGCTGACGGGAGACAAATATCGACTTCATATTATACAAATGAACATCCACTTAAAGGAAACTACATGTCACCCACCTTGCACGTATGATTAAATACGACCAAAGACGATGAACAGATACATTACTGTTCGTCTCAACAACCACAGGAACTTCCTCAAGGAACCTCAGAACCATCTCGTAAAATAGTTCAATAAAAAATAAAACGCATTACTATCTTCATCAATACATCTCGTAAGTATTAAGCCCGGCGCACACGTGAGTAATTTTACTCAAGTAAAATGATGCATGCGTCAAAATACTCACGCGAAATATTTTCAGCGTCCGCCGCACACGTGAGTAAGATTACTCAAGGTATAAGTGGTAATGTAGATCACGTGACTGTGCACAGCCAATACTGGGCGCAGTCATCTTTAAAATGCACGTATTATAAATAAAAGCATGCATTTAAACGCATGCGCTGTGAGGACCAGTGTTGAGTAAATTTACGCAGCTAGCGCGCACACGTTGAGTATTTTGACGCATGAGTAAAAAATTATCAAACATGTTTGATATTTAGTTTTTTGATGCATGCGTCAGAAAACTCAACGACAATCCGGCGCGCACGTGAGTATTTTGACGCATGCATCATTTTACTTCATTCATACGTACGTTAATTTACGCATACATTCATACCCACGAAAGTCTATAGATGTGTCCAGCAATGTAATAATGAGGAAACCTGGGTAATAAGCAGACTGCTTGCTAACAGGAAAGCGCGGCAATGGTACTCGCACCATAATACCTGGCTATCTACAGATCAATACGATAATACCTGGTACTTAGTCGGCCAAAGTGGACGCGCAATTTATATAACGTGCGCGCGACACAAAATCAAATCTGACATAAATAGCATTAGCACCAGCTATATGAAACGCCACCGAAGCGTCAGATCCAGACGTTGTCTACCGCTTAACGTGAGAAAAAAAATCGTTGATGAAGAAACAAAAGTTCATTACACTATGCGGCGAACACGGCTCCTGGAACGGTAGATGCTCATATACGTTTCAAGCGCAAGATTCTGCTAGGTAGCGAGACGCTTGTAGCGTGTGAAAACAGAAGCAGGCTTCGTCAGTTGAAGCGCGACAGAGCGCGTCGGTTTATTGAATCACGTAAACGCCGACAGTCCGCCGCGCATGCGCGAGTGACAATGACGTCATTGGGGGTAGCGCCTCTAAATTCAAAGAATGCCGCTCTTCATCCCTATCCTCACACATACACACATGCACGCACGCATGCACACGCACACGCGCACGCACACACGCAGACACATTACACACGCGCACGCACGCACACATGCACGCACGCACACGCGGGGAACGGGAAACGTTCTTACCTCATTATTAAGATGCAGGAACTTGGTCTCAGGAGTGACCGGAACGCCGGAAAGAAACTGATATATGCTGTTGTCGTTCTGCAAAACAAGTAGAGCGCAAAAAAACATTACATGAGAATCACGGAATCACGACCACCGATCCGTCACCACTGGACACGAACACATATCGCGCAGTTATTTGCATTTCCATCCCGATGCCGACTTCAAAGATGACGTGCTCGGAGTATCGGTGAGCATTCTCATCCTCGTCCCCATCCTTCATCATTATTGTCATCGTCATATCCATCGTCATCGTCAACGCCATCGTCATCACGAAGATCATGCTCATCCGAATCGTATACATCTTTAGGCTTTTCCTTGCGGCCCTCGTCTGGGTGAAGCCATGTGTGAGTGTGCGTGCGTTTCTGCGCGTGCGTGAATGCGTGCGTACGTGCGTGCGTGCGTATATATATATATATAAATTGCAAACGCGACGCGGAGGCGGTGATGATGACGACGGCAACAGCGCCACCTTGCCACAGCCATCAACAGAAATTACTTGATGGTAATTCTACTTTTATAATCAATAAATAATAACAGCTAACAACCAAACAGCGTTCGTTCTTACCAACCAACCAACTTCAAAAGTAGGTTGCGAAATTAGGAACATGGGCTATTTTGACAGCTCAAAGTCTTATATAACTACAAAGATGCGCGCGCCTGAATTAGTAACGCGCCGCTTTGAAGTACGTTAATTGGTGGAAAAACGACTCACTGTAACGACCTCCTAGAAGGCTTGAACGCCTTTATCAAGACGCGGACAGAATTATTATCCTAATGCGTCGGCATAAACCCTTTTGTCACAAACACGGTGAAACAGATTTTCGTTAAAAATCGATAGCACTTCATCCCGTAATATTTTCTGTCACGGTTTCCGGCGTTAAGCGTAAATAATATTACGAATTAAAAGAGATTAGCTTGTTAAAAGTATGTGGTGAGACATGCATGTGTATATGCCCATGTACAATGTGTGTGTGTGTGTGCGTGCGTGCGCTGCCGCGTCGGTTGCGTGTAACGTGTGCGTGTGCGTGTGGTGTGCGCTGTGTGACTGAGTGTGTGTGTGTGTGTGTGTGTGTGTGTGTGTGTGTGTGTGTGTGTGTGTGTGTGTGTGTGTGTGTGTGCGTGTGTGCGTGCAATAATGTGTGCATGTATGGTTGTGAATGCTTCCTATATGCTTTTCTCGTTTTTTTTTGCAAATCTTTCCAGATTTGGAACGTTTAGCACCAGCAACAGCAGCAGCAGCTGCATCATCAGGTTCGGTAACAGCGGCGGTGGCGGCGACTGCATAAACTCAGAAACTAAAAAAATCCTGAATCATGAAAATAGTGACGGATATTATAATTCCATGTGAATTTTCGCGCGTGCGTGCGAGTGACACATTGGAAGAGAATTACCAAGCTGATCGAGTTATGACGTCACGTGATTAAATTCTACCCGAGATTTAGCGCATACGAACTTGGCTGGCGGGAAACGCCAATTCATTTTTTATCAGCGGACGAATACGGGGCGATTGAAACTAGATATCGGTTAACCGCGAGGTGATGGACGTATGCGTAAAGTATGTGCATACCCATGTAACCAGCAGAAAGTTACCGAACCTTTAGGCAAAATTTCAGTTTTACCGTTTTCGCATTTAAATTTCTCATGCGGGTATTAGACACTTCTAATCATAAATTAACATTATAAGCATGATATAATCTTGGTTTTGCAACATCTGGAACACAACTGACGAGAATCTTAATGCCATTCTAGAGAACACAAACACTACCACCCGAAATCACCAATCGTTATAAAATGGCCGCATTTTACGCGACCTTTAGAAAGAATCACTGCCTATTAGAAGTGCTACAGCTGCAACTACATCTAATATACAATCCCTGCAAACTAAACAGTAATGTGCTAATTACGTAAGCAACAACCAATCATTCGAAGTCGCGGATTACTTTGTCAACGCGTTTACACTTTCAGAACGAGCCCTTGAGTCTCCTCCAACTAAAAATAGCTCCATCGTAAGTGCCTCGCAGCGCTGCTGCTGCAGCAAACCTATAAAAAGAATCCTCGAGAGAGTTTTCTCGCTCAACGGTGCGCGCATATGGTTCGTTAAATAAATAATGATTCTTATCCCTTCGCGCGCCGACCAATTACAGCAACGCGTTACAAAGTGCCTCGGGGGCGTCTAGTTGGACGTGCGTATGGTGTACGGTTTGTCAATTTAGTCCAACCATATTTCGGTTTACAAACACACCATATTTTCCGCCAACCATACACATTGTAACGCCGCCAACATGTTATTTATAAAAACCTTATCTTACTTAAGCTAAAGTCACACCAAGCTCCCGGACCGGGCCGGACGCTGCCGGACTGATCCGGGGAGAGATCCTTGTTGGGTCCTGGACGGTCCTGGACGGTCCTGGACGGTCCGGCCCGGTCCGGGGTGGTCCTTGATGGTCCGGCGCATTCCGGGATATCGCCCCGGATGTTTTAAACTGTTTAAAATTGCCGGGGTGATCCGGGACGGTCTCCGGGAGGTTTTCACTATCCGGGTGGTTCCGTGGGACGGTCCGTGGCGCATGTCGCGTGGTAGGTCCGGGACAGTCCTGCGTGGTAGGTCCGGGACAGTCCGTAGGTTGGCACCGCTGTTAAGAACCGCGGCCGCATCCGGTGGCCATCCGTGTCGTTTTTGTCGGCCACGGATCACTACGGATCAAGCCGCGACCCCAACACGGATGGCGGCAGCAGCGGATGGCCAGACGGGGGGCCGGACCACGGCCGCGATAAGCAGCGTCCGTGGCGGTCGAGGCAGTCCGGGGGCGGTCCGGGCGTCTAGTGACTTCCGTCTCCTGGGGGCACGAGCTTCATGCGGGCTCAAATCCAGGATGTCCCGTGGCGCTGCCGTGTGCTGGTCCGGCCCGATCCGGCCCGATGGATGCTTTTTTCGACGGATCGCCACGGATTATAATTTACGGTCCGGGGGAGACCTGCCCCATCCGCATGGTTATCCGTGCGGACAGTCCGCCCCCAGTGATGACTTTAGGCTTACCCCGAAAACGGGTTTGTCTATATTCAGGCCGGTACAGGAGATAATTTGCATATTTTGTCACGTGGTTTGTGTTATAACCAATCAGATGTAATCGCGGTGGAGAAGGAGGGGAGAAGCTGGTGGAGAAGGAGGAGGGGGAGAAGCTGGTGGAGACTGAAGAAGGGAAGAAGGGAGAAGCTGGTGGAGAAGGATGGAGGTGGCGGAGAAGGTGGTGGAGAAGGTGGTGGAGAAGGGAGAAGGTGGTGCCAGGGAGAAGGGCACCTCCCTGCCACCTTCTCCACCACCTCCTCCACCAGCTTCTCCCCTCCTCCTTCTCCACCAGCTTCTCCCCCTCCTCCACCACCTTCTCTCCCTCCTCCTTCTCCACCAGCGTCTCCCCTCCTTCTCCACCGCGATTACATCTGATTGGTTATAACACAAACCACGTGACAAAATATGCAAATTATCTCCTGTACCGGCCTGAATATAGACAAACCCTACAGAAACACGTGTACATTTTTCCTACTAACAGGATTCGCGCGCCACCGAACCACAATTCCCCCCACACTAGTTTGCTAAACCAACACTATACTAGTAGTTGGTCAGCGAACGGTACAAGTATAGTTTGCGCAGAAACATGGTTTTCCGCGCGCAGTGTGACGGTTTGTCTTTATTAACTCCTGATATGGTGTGTGTTTGTAAACCGACATATAGTTGGACTAAATTGACAAACCGTACACCATACGTGCGTGGCTTCGCGCCACGACAGCTATAGGGTGATACTCCATTAGGAGTGTTCCCAACTTTAATGTTATTAAAGGAGCGTTAGCCCAGCTGTGCTCTCACCTTGGCCACAAGCTCAGAGCTGTGCTGCTTCTGCTGTCTCCGTAGTAGCACCAAGCCGGCAACGACGTCGGAAGGGACGACGTCAAGGTCGCGGAAGAACTCGGAAAGCAACTTGGCAATTTCTGTGAAAGAATTCTTGGAAGGGAAGAAGAAGAGAAGCAAGCCGATTAGTACGATGATGTTAGCTTAATTACTATCAGGGAGAAATGGCGCATAATTTGAATAAAAAGAGCGAGAAAGACCTTACTGAAATAAAGAATATGTATAACTAGTATACGCGGCTACGCCTATACTAATCTATAGCTACAGCCCAACGCAATAAGGAGGAATCCGCATCTTTTAAAGTTGGGTAAAATATAAGGTAAGACTTATGGTTCGGATAAGTTGAGGATAACCTTGAGATGAGCGAAAGGTTATGCAGACGGGTGAGTTTCGAATCGGGATTAGGGACTACTCTAAGTAAGGATATATCTAATCATAACCGTATCCATATGGTAAACAAAGTGCTGCCTTCGCTGGGTTTTTATGGCTCGGCTTTACACTTATATATGAGTAGATACTCTAGATGGTACCAATTATTGCTACACAGATCGAACTGAATAAAGAACTAATATATATTCACAGTGATGTACTCTTACTGAGCTTGCGCTGGCCTCGCTAATCACGCATAAATGTAATTAAAGTAGACTAGAGTAACGTCGGTGTATCCAGTCGTGTAGTGTGCTGCATACTGAGCATCAAGCTCATTGAGCTCATACAAGCTCATCAAGCTCGTACGCAGCGCAGCTCATTGAGCATGCAAATCATCAACTTCTAATCTCCAGCATGGCACGTACTCGGCCGTATTAGTATGTATATATTGCAGCAATATATATATATATATGCAGCAGTAGCAGCAGTCGGGACGCCATCCGCATCCTGGTACGCTATATGGTCTCTGGCTCTTCGTTATTTCCCCACGACGCCCGCATTATGAATGCACTCACGATACACTCCCACGCACGCACGCACGCACGCACGCACTCACGAACGCACGCACGCGTATACGCAAACCTACTTGCTCGCACGCACCCGTCTACGCACGCGCATTCGCGCACACGCGCCCTCCCCACATGCGCGTCCAAATACGCACGCGCCTACCCACTCTTACACACACGTACACACACGCACGCACACACACACACACACACACACACACACACACACACACACACAGCGTGTGCGTGTGCGTGTGCGTGTGCGTGTGCGCGTGCGTGTGCGCGTGCGTGTGTGTGTACGTGCGTGCGTGCGTGTGTCTGAATATAAACCAGCATAATAACCGGTCAATAAGAATAAAGCTGATAAAACTAATAAAAAGTATAGAATGCAAAGGGAACGCAAACACTTTAGTGCTTCTCTGTTACAATCGTGGTTAGAAACCATGGCCAATAAAATTATTCCATTCTGGGATGACCGCCAACGTCAATGTCTATCAAGACACAGAATTTTGATTAGATCACGAGTAAATGTCCTGAGTATATGTATATTTCTCATGTCGTATATAGCAAGATGGGAAAGAAGGGAGAAGAGATTAGGAGATGAAGTAATCGTATTTTAATATCAGATTTAGATACGCCACGTGCAATATTTTGATATTGTTAACTATGCTATCACAAATATGCTCATATAAAATGTTAGAGAACAAGAAACAGGCGGCTTCTTGCAATACAGAGTTACGCAATCCAACCGCACTTTTGTTAATAAAGTTATACATCGAACATCAAACATCGAGTTATTGAACATCGAGCGATTACAAATTTGTTTTCGTGCGTATAACCACGTGGTTTTCACTTGCTGGTTCGTTTGAGGAGTGTCGAATTGCATATATAATAATATGAATTAAATACGTGTAAACATTGTTGAATAATTTAGGTATGAAATAAAGCAAGTTACAAAAACGAACTTAACGCACACACTACGACCATTGCGCGATGTTTATCGTGTCTATCCATTATAGTAAAAACAATCTCGAACAATACACATCTCGAGTAACGGACTCGGAAGCCGCCGGACTTCTGTTTGTTTGTTTTGTTTGTGTACTCTTTTCATTCTGTGCTCGCTTGCGTGTTGTATTGTTTGTGCGTTTACCTATCAGCGGGGGTGCGCGACACCTACAGCGACTATATATGACTTAACAGCGACCTTCGGTTGACATTGGTTGTAGCGCGACAGACAAAACACGCGTTACATTTAAAACATGCTCCGTCAAGGAATTAACAAAGCTTTGCAGCGCTAACAATGCACAAATTTCCAATGAAAGTTAAATCTACACGCACGCACGCACCCACCCACCAACGAACCCACCGACGAACACACACACACGCACGCCCGCGCGCGCACGCACGCACGCACGCACACACATACACACACTCCTCTTCATATCCGCAAATCATAGCGTTAATAATCGAACGACGGCTTAACGACGGACGAACGAATTATCGGTACGCGAACGAGAGTGCAAGGGAGGAAGAGACAGAAAGAGAAAGAGAGAGATAAAGAGAGAAACGAAGAGAGCGAGAGAGGGTGAGAGAGAAAGAGAAAGAGAGAGAGAGAGAGAGAGAGACGAAGAGAGCGAGAGAGGGTGAGAGAGAAAAAGAGAGAGAGAAAAACGAAGAGAGCGAGAGAGGGTGAGAGAGAAAGAGAGTGAGAGAGAGCGAGAAACGAAAAGAGCGAGCGAGGATAAGAGAGAGATATATATAGAGAGAGAGAGAGAGAGAAAAAAAGAAAGAGAGAAACGAAGAGAACAAGAGCGGATAAGAGAGAGAGATATGAAGGGAGAGAGCGAGAGAGTGAGAGAGAAATAGTGACACACACACGCGCACCCACGCGCACGCATTAGACGCAACACAAACCACGCGCACCGTGCTACAAAACCATAACGAAATTCATCTACAAAAAGCCCCCGTATCTCCCTCCTGACGGCGTGTGTTCACCGCAGCAACACTTCACCGGAGTAATTTGGAAGCTGTTCGCGGTAGCAACTTTGATCCATTTCGCTGATAGAATGGCGGTTATGACGTCACGGCGGTACGTTTCGCTATGGTGATGCCGACAGTCTAGCGTATCTAGCGACGTACAGCATCTACACGCGTCTCGATGACGTCATCAGCCCATGGTCGCGTGCTTTGCTGCTCACATATTTCGGTGGTCGCAGAGTTTTCCCGGCGACGTTTTCGCCATGGTATTTGTTTGCTACGCGTATTGCTTGCCCAAGTTTTACTGATGATATATTTTGTAGGTAATAAGTTTGGTTGGTCACATTTTAGGCTGGTCGCATATTTTGTTTGCCTCGAGTTTTCGATCCATGTGCTGTACTAGACACATTTTCCCGAATGGTAAGATATTTCGCTGGTGGTGAGAGGTTTCATATAAACTCACCCTATTTGTGTCCGTCGTGCCAAGACAGCAGAATAGTAGGCGACACCGCTTGTGCCAGCTCGCCTGGTACTTTATCCATGTTTTTCTGCAAAAGAAAAGTCACGGTATATTGATTGCTGTCAAATATAGACAGCAAAACTATAGGGCAACGAAATAACCATTACATCGCGTATTGTTTTCATTCGAACACAGTAAAACAGTAAAACGCTATCTGTACTCTATACGAATATCCCGGATACTTATCTTTTTTTTAATTATTATTATTATTATACAAACGTTTCTATTATACACACGTATTAAACAAATACGGTTTCCAATTATACAAACGTGCATCAAACTAAATGTATTTGTAAAAAGTACGATATGACAGACATCGTACAGTCTCAGTGTATATAACAGTGTGATTGATAAGTACGTATATCTCAATGACTTTACGAAGTTTAGACCAAAGATTTTAACCCGCAAGGCAGACAACGAAAAGAAGATTCATGTTATATCTTTACATTGTATTACCAACCAAAAGTAATCTACTTGTAAAATTTCAGTATATGTTGAGTGCGCCCATTGGCGTGACGTACTCGGCGTTCCAACGGCGCAGCATTACCCCCAGACGATGCAGACCAGTTTACCTAAGAAACTTACGCGGCAAGTGATCGACGTTGCAAAAATATTTGCGAGCGCCATCGATGGAGTTTAGTTGAGACAAGCGCCGAATCGATAAAGCAATCTCAAAGTTTCTAGAATTCGTTTCGATTATTCACCGTATGTCAAAGCTCAAAAGCAAATAACAATTTAGCCGAGAAAGGTTTGCACGCTATATAACAAAAGTAGATAATAGGGATAGAAAGGTTCCCTATTATCTACTTCTGCTATTATATGCTAAGCTGCGCAGGTTGTGTAACACACACACACACACACACACACACACACACACACACACACACACACACACACACACACACACACACACACACACACACACACACACACACACGCGCGCGCGCGCGGGCGCGCGCGCACAAACACACACGAACTGCCATTAACCCACACATCACCATGCAGGGACGGAAAATGTAGCGAGTCAATAAAAGTTGGAAGCATTATATGCGCCAACCTGTAAACAACGTTGGTGTACTCGAAATCGCTCATTTGATATGGCGTCGTAAAAGCTTAGCGACAGGACCCGCAACCTCACTACACGCAAGTCAGCATATACGTGAAATTTCTATACATGTTTAAGAGTGATTTTCATTTAAATTGGGCCGTCAGTTTGCCTAAGTTTTATATTTCGTTTATCCGATCTTATAGGAAAACATCGGCTTCATCACGTCTATACAGTTTTATGCCTTACTAATATATTTTCTATTGATACCAATATCTTGCCACACGCGAGGATGTACATTTTGTATTATTAGCCAACATGTAACCTGGTCGTTTAAAGTATATAGGCGTAGACATGACGTGCGCCTAATGAATTGTACGCGCAGTTTTACAATAGCTAATTATTTATATAGAGTATTAGTCGGCATTGAGTACACAAACATTGTTTATCTAGTAGCAGTCTACACGTCTAATATAACCTTCATTCACCGTCATATTTTACACCTCCGGTGTTGACGAAGTGCTTGTGAGTATACATTAGCGCGGCACAACCTAGCGTATGCTGTTATATAGCAGGTTCATTAGTATATCACTACAGCCGACAACGCTCGTGCCAGCAGCCCAACCACTGTAAGCGCTCATCCTGTTCTGCTAGCATCTATGACAAATACGACATACGCATATACGCTCTCCTATGACACTATTTGTGAAGATTTTCATATTGTTGTATGTGTTGTGCGCATCATAGGAGTTTAGGAGCGCTATTATGAACGCAAGCAGTGAATTTAAGCTGTAAAGCGGAACGAAGTTAACTTGCCAATATTTGTCATAGGAAGACAAATAGTGTCATAGGAGAGCTTATATGCGTATGTCGTATTTGTCATAGATGCTAGCAGAACATGACTGTTGAAGCGCTCAGCATTCCGTGATGACATGCCGATTGTTATGGACGATGATTCCTCGTGAAGGCAATTATAAAGCGATCGACCTTAAACATCACGCGGTCTTCTAAAATATTCAAAAAATTCCACGCGAGATATACGAGTAGTTGCTTTGCGATACGGTACGTTCGAAATAAACAATCATATGTGTATAAAATGTGTTTGCATATAATAAATACAGATGTTTTAAGCGCGCTTCACCGAGGAAACATTACGAGATAACTCTCGGGTAAGATCGACCCGGATACTATGTCATGTTAGGATGAGCTGATAATACTTATTATATATTACTATGATTATTTATAAATATATATATTATTAGAACACTGATAACATTTGCCAACATTAATGTATTATTAGCTATTGATGTTATTCCATTTCATGGCGTCACGTCGCCCGCTATACAGCTGAAACAAAGTTATAAAGCTGCAAACTGTTCAACACACAGCAGTGCTAAACCTCTCACGCATACTCTCGCCCCATGAGAGCAACCTCAATCACCTGCTGACTGAATTTATTGAACCTGCTGTCCGTTGTAAAATAAGATACGAGTACTCGGAAACAATGCTAGTTCGGTGTCGCATCATCAGACTGGCTCCACTGTATCAGTAAAACTATAGATAACTATATTGATCCGGTGATATAAAATGCAACTAGGAACCAGTCTACGTACTTGCGAGCTTATCGTCTTCACGGCGATATCCTGCGGCAGGTTATTAGACAGTAGAAATGAGTGGAGAGGGTTGTGCTGGACTCACTTATTAATACTAGTACCAGCTCGTGTTGTGACCCGCCATTGAGTGAAACCTGGTCGAATCGTTCGGCGTTCGAGTTTCTCGTGTATCGAACAGCTATAGAACGGGTGCTTTCAACATTTGCGTTTATTCAGCTTCGTTTTACATCATTACTCGACATAATAGCTCGCTTTGCATATCGAGTAGGTGATGATATACCAAGTATATATATATATATATATATATACATATACGTAACTGAAAAAGCGTCCAGCAGCGGCGTAGCGGTTTAATTACGAAGCATGTTGACAGATGTGGACAGCACACGGAGCCGTATCACGCAGAGCCACTTTGTCATCCGGGAAAACCACTGCTGTCAATAAACCCCCCGTGTTGAAATCACATTTCCTCACCGCCATTCGCGATCGCCGCCCCCCCCCACTCCCCTAACTTGCACGAAGGACCACAATGTAAATAAGTGTGCTAGTCATACGTTTTTTTGTATATATCCTTGGTAGTTCCATTTAATTTCATTAACTTAAAATTTATTGTAACAGTATATATATGGATAATTATCTAAATAGTTAAATAAATAAATAAATAAATAAATATAAAACTTTTCATCATGCCCACCCGCGCTGCTTGCGCACACGCTATCCCAGCCTGCCCCGCGCGTGCTTAGGCGCGGATCAATATTACACTCGCCGTCGGCGCATCACGTCACGTCGGCATCCGAGCTAGATATCTTTTTATCTGTCCGCGCGAAAAGCAAGAGGCAATTAATCTCGTTTTCCTCGGAATGGGTCTCTCATTGTCGTGTGTATCTCTAGCACAGCAGCAGAACTGCAAACAGTATATAGTATACTATATATTAGTATATATACTGTGTTGGGCTTCACGCGTGTAGTATGGAGGGGAAAGAAAAAAGGAGAGCGAGAGAGATTATATATATATATATATATATATATATATATATATATATATATATATTAGTGAACGGTGTGTGATACACTGCAAACAACACGGGCGAACGCGCGGTGTTTTGCAGCCATTGGTGCGTGTGTGTATTCTACATAAGGCTACGCAATACTGCACACATGTTAAGCGTATACGCGTGTCACTGCAGGTAACATGCTCGCTTAGCTGCTAACGAGAAGTTGACTGTTTCTCCTCATACAACGATAGTAGTAGTAGTACTGGCTACGAGTTCTACGGCTTCGTAAAGCTTGACAGAAACGCCACCAGGAGGCGTAAATACACTGTTGCGCTGTTGCGTCGCGATACCCACGCGAGGTGCGCGCATCCTGGTGGCGTTTAGAAGAAACTTTACGAACAGTGGGAACTCGTGTCGACAGTGCGTGTACAGATAGCAGTCGCTCTCACGTCGGGTGAAGATATACTTGCTACTAATTAGTACAAGCGAGGAGGAAACATCGCAAACGGGTGCTGACACTCTTGTTAAAAAACAACTGCCTGGACTTGCCACCATTGCAGTACCTTCGTTCGCAAGTCGAGTACACGGGCTCAGACATACGTAACCTACAAAATAGAAAAACAACAACATGCGCACTGAATCATGAATGCCAAGATAATATAGGCCGCGACACAGGCAAAGCGAAAACAATTGGTCGATGGGTTTCCTGTTGACTGAAACGACAGTGAGTATACGTGAGCTGTAGCACATAGATGAAGCCAGCATCCATATGCTACAGTAGCATGGAAGCCAGTATCCCTGCGTGTCAGTAAGGAACCCAGCATCCCTACGCGACAGCGGATAGGAACCCAGCATCTCTACGCGTCAGCAGATAAGAACCCAGCATCCCTACCCGACAGCAGATAGGATCCCAGTATCCCTACCTAGCAACGACAAGGAACCCATGCAGCATCTCTACAAGACAGCAGATAGGAACCCAGCATCCCTACCCGACAGCAGATATGAACCCAGCATCCCTATGCGACAGCAGATAGGAACTCAGCATTCCTACCTAGCAACGACAAGAAACCCATCATCCTCACGAGACAGCAGATAGGAACCCAGTATCCCTACCTAGCAACGACAAGAAACCCATCATCCTCACGAGACAGCAGATAGGAACTCAGCATCCCTACCCGACAGCAGCTAGGAACCTAGTATCCCTACCTAGCAACGACAAGAAACCCATCATCCCTACGAGACAGCAGATAGGAACCCAGCATCCCTACGCGACAGCAGATAGGAACCCAGCATCCCTACGCGTCAGCAGATAGGAACCCAGCATCCCTACGCGACAGCAGATAGGAACCCAGCATCTCTACGAGACAGCAGATAGAAACCCAGCATCCCTATGCGACAGCAGAAGATAGGAACCCAGCATTCCTACCCGACAGCAGATAGGAACCCAGCATCCCTACCTAGCAACGACAAGGAACCCAGCATCCCTACCCGACAGCAGATAAGAACCCAGCATTCCTACGCAACAGCAGACAGGAACACAGCATCCCTACGCAACAGCAGACAGGAACACAGCATCCCTACGCGACAGCAGAAGATAGGAACCCAGCATTCCTACCCGACAGCAGATAGGAACCCAGCATCCCTATGCGTCAGCAGATAGGAACCCAGCATCCCTACCTAGCAACGACAAGGAACCCAGCATCCCTACCCGACAGCAGATAAGAACCCAGCATTCCTACGCAACAGCAGACAGGAACACAGCATCCCTACGCAACAGCAGACA